TGAGGACTATTTTAATCGAGAGGCATATCACCTATGTGCCAGCCCTATCCGTCATCTTATCTACGGTCTTCTTCTACAACTGGAAGCCTCAGCATCGCCCGGTTTGCCCTTGTCGCATCTGCCAGGTCTCCAAGGTTCCCTTAATCGACCCTATGTTAGCGAATATACCCGAGTTCACGCTTCCAGACTTGAACACCGGCGCATTGGGATAACCTTCCTGAGTTTACAGTCATCTACTTCAAACGCTGACCCACGCTATACCTTCCTTTCCGAGAATCTCGGTCTCCCTGGCAACCGCACGGACACTCCTTCCTGGATGCATGGTCTTATCTGTCTCTACTTTCTGTGGATGCGTTCTAATAAACATTCGGAAGCTTATCTTAGCACTTCTTCCACTGGTCTAGCCCTTACGCTTTGCTCCCTGGTCACGCTTAAACTACTGGCTGCATTATCCAATCGGTCGACGTTCGGCAAGACGCGCAACACCTTTAAGCTCCATAATAAACTTGCTAAACACTATGCTCACTGCGCGGCTTTTATTACAAGCAAATCGTCGCGGACGAAACCCCTGCAGTTCCACTTTTTACATGCAATCGCTCAAACGCAGGCCATCCACTACACTTTAGATAGTCTTTCAGGCCTGCTGGACGCCATGGCGGACTTACCAGGAGAACCCAGACCCACTTGCATCGATCTCCCCCCGCCGCAGTTCTGTTTCCCTTCCGGCTACTTGGCGCATCAGCTGGCGGCACATTTTTCCCGTCTCTCGCCGGCTCTCCGCATAAAGGAGGCCGTGGACTATTGGATTCCCTGCCTTCTTGGCCAGCGTTTGACCGGTAGTGTTGGACCAGAAACTGGCTGTGCTATACCCGAACCGACGCCCGATTTTGTTTCTGAAGTGACAGAAGCCTACAAAGTCCTAGTAAGAACAGTTGATGACATGCTTGTAACCGCACCACCACTGCGAGAACCTGCAATTCCAGCAGAGCCGGCTGAACCCGAGACGATCCACAGGCATCAGAAAGCACCCAACTCACCACCACGCCAACGTTGGAGGGTCGCTCACCATCGTGCGGTCGCAGCACCTTCACATCCCTCGCCAGCAGAAGTAGAAGCCCTGGTCACAAAGGCCATGCGGGAGGCGGGCTTGACAACCGATTAGGTTTCAGCCATTTTGGACAGTAACCTCCGCTCTCCCGTCTTTTCGAGTAGAAGAGCGCCTCTACTAGAGCGAGTCAAATAGCTGCCACTTTTTTCTTGTGAATATGTACATACTAGGTTTCCTTACCCTGTACCTATTTACACAGACTTATGCATAATGTTCAGAAGAGAGAGTGGCGAGTGAACGTTCCTTTCGGTAAATTCTCATCAGGCCAATACAATTACATAGGGCGGGGTAGAGTGAGTGAAACAAAAATCGATAAAAGTTAGGTTTTAAATTACAGGCTCGGAAAGAGCGGAAGGGCGCCGAAAGTTGCATGTGGTTAGTCAACCTTTGACCACGGTAAGCGCGGAGCCTGAACCAGGTTCTTTTGGGCGCATAGGGTCGGTTTTCGTAACCTTATGGCGGCCGCTTCTGCTGTTGCTAGCAGGCGCTGGCCCAGTAGCTTAGGGTAGCTCGAGGGGACCTTGTAAATCACACGAAATGCTTCGGTGGGGTCCACACGATGCCCTGAGTCCACTGCATGCGCAAGGATGGCGCTGTCTATTCTCCTAGTTTCACCCTTTGCCAGCCATGCATAATGATCTCTCAGTATTTAGTGGAGTTCTCCCGCTTCGTCCATGCCGGGCCAGAATGTTTGTAAGGTGGGCAGTGTAAAAAAGTTTAATCTCGTGCTTGGTATAAAAGTTCTCAGTTATAAGACGCCGTCGGACATGAAAACCGGAAACTTTCTTGTGCCCATATTTGATCTACCTGTCAACATACCGCAAATTAACCGCATATTGTGTGACCTTCCTAAGTTGCAGTAATTAGGCAACCAACTCTCACGAACTCTGGTCATTTGGGATATCAGCCACATAGGAATTAGTCAAGTTGCTGTGTTTGCTGCACGCACCCCTGCCTTTGCCTAGCCGTCCCTGGGCCTTTTTATACGCAACCACTCTTGGATTTTGGTTAAGGTGATATCGGTCCCTCAGTAGAAACCGCAAAGCCCGTGCCACCGAATTTCGTAGTTGTTCTTACCAACCACAAGCAGTTGGGATTCGAACTCAGACCCAGTAACTTGGGTTCTCATCTCAGTTACTACACGAGTGGATGACTTAGGAGTATTGTACCGATGAAGTAGTAGTTACCGGTAGGATAGGTTTCTAATAGCAGTTCACAACGTGACTGCCCTCTACCAACTCGTGTTAGCTAATTCCTTGAGGAAGATTTCAATTCTCCAGGTGGGAATGTGCCTTACTTCAACGCATCAAACCCGAGTTCTCAAGATGTGCGGTCCAGACCGCCCATTTCCGATGCCTTTTACCAACGAGCACGACCAGTGGCAACTTGAAATTTGATGACACCTTGGTGCTTCCAACTGAATACATGGATTGATTTCGTGTGTCTAAGGCGGTTTACCACAGGAACTCCTGCATAGCTGCGCACTGGTGGAGCTCTGCACTAACATGTGCGACTTCTGCATATATCTCTTTCGCCTGCGTGACTGGTTATGTCTGATGTCGCGGATAGTGCTTCTCCACTCGCGACGGTATTGAGCGGCGGTTTTAGTGAGCTCGATCTGCTGTCCTCTCCAGCGACTCAAACCGAATGCCAGAAGTCAAAAAGTCATGTCCTATAAGCTGTTCCGAGTCCATCTTGGGCCCACCCCTTCCCTCAGATATGCAGTTGGGTCAGATTTAGGCCAGCAGTGCTGAACGGATGACGAACCACCTCAACTACCTCTCTTGAATGATCTGAAATATTTCGTGATGCTACGACGAGGGCGGGCTGTTTCATTCGAGAACCAGGTATACATCGTTTGGAAAGTTCTTCTCGGAGCACGAAGATCGAGAACCTTCAGGCTGGCTCGTTTACCGCATTAACTGCGTAGCAGTAATAATCGTGACTGGGGTATGACCGACCCGATCTATGCGGATCTTTGGGAGTGAGTAAAATATCGCCAGGTGGCCATAAGCACCTTTAGAGGCTTGACGAAACCGGGGAGCAGTAGCAGCAGTCCGAGTCACGATCGCGTCCCCACTCTGTGCACTAAACAACTCCCTGGCCTCTAGATTTTTGAAACTGTTAACTTTTTCAGGCTGGGAGACAGAAATCAGGATATATGCCTTGTGGCCAAAAACATGGTATTGGTGCGTAAGCTGATTGATAGTAAACAAATTCTGCTTACCAGTCACCTTTATCCGAGACAGTTGCCATAGTCTACTGACGGGTCGGTATCGTTAGCGCAGTCAAAGTCAGTCAGTGTATCTTCGGGTGACACTGCTAAAACCGTACAGGGTGCTCACTAGAATACCGTAAATGACGCGGTTGGTTAGGACAGACGACAAAATGCGAGCCTTTGAAAAGGCAGGACGGGCTTCGGACGGCTGCAATGGGCCACCCTAGAGCTGTAGTAGGCCACGATAACCCAAGAATCTGAGTCGACACATCGTCTAGCTCAATTACCGGCTACAAAGACTCACAGATGAAATTAAATGCTGCAGTCAAGCCGACAGAACGGGTGGCCGTCAATGGCTGGCATACACGACAGAGTCCGGGAATGCGCTGTAGTGGGGCGCCTGGTCGGCGAATCAACTCCCGGCTAGACTGAATTGCGTCCTTGTGTCCTGCAGATCATGACGATGGCAAAACTCAGCAGCGACGTACTTCTAGCAGTCTAATATCGTGTCTTACAGGCAGGCACAAAAATGGGTGAGTCCCGACCATCCAGAATTATTTCATCTCTCCAAGCCTGTTCAAAAAATTTATAAAGCCAAAGGGAACTAGGTGTCGATACGACCCTGGCCATCCTCTGCAGACGCCCACCTCGTAACCAGACTTAGTGCTGCATCGGGGAGCTCCTCCTTCCAAACGACGAAATTCCGCCTCTGAGGATAGACAAGTGTAGTGATTGGTTGTGCATGGAAGATGAGAGGCCCACGGGGTAGGTCACTCCACGGCTCGATGTCAGCCGATCTGTCAGTAATAGAATTGCCATTCATATGGTGACGTGGAAATTAAGTCGACAGGCGCCCGCAGACAAGGAAATGACCTGACGCAGCCCGGTCGTTCTAGTCGCCGACACCGATTCGAATATGGCAGTTGGGAAGTTTGTCAACCAGTTCTGGCGGCTGCGAATAAAAGATGGCAATCATCGGAATTTGGTGCTAGGGTTTATATGATAATGACGGGTGCGTCGGTAAAGCTCCTCTCCAGTCGCATGCACGCCAGCCAGGACCGTTGTGATAAAGGAATAGGTATGAACCTCATATATATGAACTGCGAATTGATGAGCCCCAATTTGCCACATGCATACTACTAAGGTCACTCGTCGCTGTTGTGACGCTGCGAGGGTTTCTTTGTCTCACTATATCCAGTAAGGAATGGACAGTCGATTTTCCCTGTATCTATGGTCTGCCTCCGAAAAACACAGTTGGAGAAATCGAACGAGCCCCGTGCGAACAGCACACAGCAGGTTTTAAATTTATTCTACAAGAGATGAACAACAGCAGTACTTTCCTCCTCCTCCTCCTCCTCCTCTTCCTCCGCCCCCGCGACCCTCCGTAACACAGCCGATTTCTCTGGTTGCGGGAAGGACCTTGCTGTCCATTTTCGCCCGCCGGGCAAGTTATGCGATAAGACTGCGGCATCGGACTCCATGTATGGGAGATTGGGCCAGTTCGCAACGAGGCTGCTATCCTCCGCCGGACGATTACTAGACTGATTCTCATCCGGCACCAGGCTTGAGAGTTCGATGACGCCGTAAGGGTCGCGTGGAGCCGCAGGGGCAGACCCCTCCTCGCTACCGCTGGAAATGTCCATGTCACTTTCATCGGCAGAGAGGGGTCCCAATTCGCCCTCCTCCAGTGCTAACTCCTCTACGGGTGCATTCTCGCCACCAGGCAGGAAGGAGGCTGAGGAGAGCACGAGTGGCGCATCTTCCGCCACCTGTTTGGCGCGCTCAAGGTCGGCCTGACGGGCGGAAGAGGCGGCCTGTCTGGCCTGTCGTTGTCGTTCCAAGCCATCTAGCACCCGATGCACCAGAGTAACGAGGGAACGAGCTCGGGAGTTGGCCAGAAGGATGCACCTGGGAAAGAGACAGCAGAAGACACTTGTTAGCGCGGAAAATACACGCATCGTTCGTCCGATAAAGCATGATCGTGCAGGCAGCTGGCAGGCTGTATATAGGGTGCTACAGAACCTACCGCGAGAGACTGTCGGGTCTGATGGGAGTGCTGAGCCCGGAAGTATGGAGGCAACAGAGTTCGCCGTGTGAAGTAAGACCCACCATCACACGCCCACCGGTAAGGATGGCTTCCTCGCGCTTTGTCGGGTCTTGGAGGATAATTTTAGTGTCAGAGGCCAATCCCAGAGTCACTAGAACGGGAATTCGACGAAGGAAGAGCGGCACTGGGGGACGGTGTTTACATTGTGTATCTACGATCACCTAAGACGAAGGGGAAGGCGAGTGAAAACTTGTCAAAATCACTAAGTAATGTTAAATGGCCTACAGTTGGCTGCTGCTGAACGCTTCCCGTATCTTTTGTTTGCCTCTGGGTAATGGCAGTAACACGCAGACGCACAGTTGGAAAACGCGATTTTGTAGACACAACTAGCTTGGGGCAAAAAGCAGATAAGCCGCCGGGCCTTGGCTTTATATCAGCTCCTTACAAAAAAACCCACCAGTTTTCGAAACTAGAAAGTTCGCGTTCGCTTTTGTTGTCCCTCTAATCAAAAAAGTCTCCACGAGGCCATGTCCCTTCAGGCTAACGTAGACGGACGGATCCGGATTGTTTTTGTAGCAGCTGGCCCTTGACACTGTTCAAACCAGATGCTTAGCCGTCTCTTACAAGTTCGAAGCAGTTTTTGACGACTCTTACCGGGTGTTAGCAAGGCCCAAAGTGGGCAAAATCACGATCAGGTCCAAAAGTAACCGATTTCTTCGTTATCCCAGTTGACTGGCATTCCGAACTTAGGCTTTAGCATGTAGTTCACAAGGTGTGGAAGTTATATCCTGCACAACATAATGGACGCTCTGGTCCTTCTTATTGACGTCAAGAATAGTGACCTGAGACACTGCTATTGACCGCGGCCAGAATTTGTCTTTTTTTAATTAAAAAAAATAAAGTCAATTGTGGGTAAGTCGAGTAATCAGATGTGTGGGGCCGTTTATCAAGACGGCTGGTGGTGAAGTTAACTGGTCAGCTTTGATAAATGACACGGGAAGGGGGCAAGCATGCTTCCGAACTATGGGTGGAAAACAGCAAGGGATCTGGTAGTCAGAATTCTAAATGGAGTGGGGAGTATTGTTTCGTCCCGCGTGTTTCGTGGTGGGAACTTTCTCGGCGATTGGTCTTTTCGTGCTCGGTAAGTCTGCCAAACGCCCTATGAAGACTGTGTATGATGCTGAGACCTTCAAAAACTTCTTTCATTTGGAAATTCTAGGCGGTCTCAAAGGACGCCTTCTAGCTCTGAGGCACTGGCGTCAATGCAGCAGGCAGCATGGTCCGGACATCTGAGTGGCGAGTAGGGAGTAGCCTGCACTGAGCTGCATCTGTTATAAAACACTGTAAAACGCTCCCCGTAGTATGTTATTACCGACAAAGACAAGGGAGACTGGAATCGTCACTTTTTGGCTTATTAGCCGTCGTCAGCCAGTCATACCCAACCCCGAAGTGTGGGGCACCTGAGGTTCGATCCCGCGACCTGTTAGTTAGAAGTCCAACGCCTCTAACCACTGAACCACGGGCCCGTTGTTCTGTCAGTTGCGATCGGGAATGTACAGTGGTGGAGGGGCGCTCACCAATCGTTTTTTGGAACTCACTCGTCTCATTGTGCCTTACGGGCTCTCTCTCGTGCCCAACCAGTGGCCACCCAATTTGTGTGCGCGTCACCAATGATTGCCGACTGCCTGGAACAAACTCCCTGGAGCCTTCATCGGTACTACCTCCAGGCGTGGCCGCATACCTATTTTCACAATCGATTGCTCATGAGGCCGTATTGACAACGATGTCATGACATAGCAAACTTTGCCTGCCATCTGATGAATCTTGCCCTGTCGTGCAGCACAATCTTGGGATCAAAAACTGGTGTGCCGGAGAATTGAATGGAGACATCCATTTTGAAAGCCAGGAGCTGCAAGAAATTATCCCTCTATAAAACTGCTGCATGGCTCAACTTTGGTCAAACCTGCCGGGGACGATTGCGGCCAGCGGAAGCAATTTACTGTTTATCAACAACAACTTTCATCAAGACTTCCTCCAAGCGCACGCATGGTTTCTTGTCAGATACTAACAACCGTTCGTCCGAAGCAGCGGCGGTCAAAGTCGCTTTTGATGCAGGAATAGTAGGCAGCTTGAATCTCCGCGATACATGTTGACAATGGTAATGCTTACATGGGTGTTGATAAGGACAGTAGAAGTAATGAACACGAGTCTTGGTGGCTACTAAACAACTAATCGTCGGGATCTCCGACGCTTTCGCTTCCCACTATGCACTGGAGTCCACTTAAACCGTTGGAGGTCAGAGAGGGAGGCGTGAAGCTCTCAAACGCCAGAACGAGGCACAGGGACCGCAATTTCAACTACCGATGACAGAGCAAAGTCGGTTTACATGGAATTGAAGGGCGGTAAACACTGGAAGTGGTAAATAACTATTTGGAGATCGCACACGTGCCTTTTTAGTCTTAAGGAGTACTTTAGATNGAACGGAAGTACATGCGCCGACCAGGGAGTCGCATGGCAATTAATAGTACATGTTGATAACGGGACACCGATAAAAACAAGGAAGACGGGGATGGCCATATCTGGCCAGGCACAACGGACGAGTGGGCTCCGTACCGCGACCAGTGCGCGCCCCCTCCACCGTTGCATATACCCGATCACAACCGACAGGAGAACGACCCCGTGGCTCTGTGGTTAGTGATGTTCGACTTCTAGCCAACAGGTCGCGGGGCCGAACCCCGGCGTTCCACACCTCGGGATTGGGTATGGCCGCCTGACGACGGCTAATAGGCCAGAAATGACCATCCCAGTCCTCCTTTCTTTTGTCGGAAATGCAATTCTGCATATATGGCTTATTAGCCGTCGTCGGCCAGACATACCCAGCCCCAGGTGTGGATCAGCTTAGATTCGACCCGGGATCGTAGGTCGTTGAGTATAACAACCTGCTACTGGGCTACGAGCCCATTGTCCTATCGGTTGTGAACGGGAATACTAATTATGATAGTATGGCGCCCACCGATCAGGTTAAGGGACAGGTTCGTGCCGTCGAGCTTTGGGACTAAATCGAGGGCCCTCCCAGGGAGTCGCATTGCAACAAATAGTTACGCAGGCGTATCGACAAAGATAAGGGCGACTGGGACGGCCATTTCTGGCTTATCAGCCGTTGCCAACCAGTCTCATTTAATATGACAGGATTTCTACGCGGTCGTTTCCAATTACGCTGCCAGAGATCGGTCAAGTGAAGGCCAAGATAAGGAAAATTCGTGTGATTTACAGTACGTGACCAATCTCATGAAACCTGATAACGTAAGCTGATTAGAGAATTTTTGACGTCTTTAACGTGGCGTATTTTGTTCGCTCCCCTACATCCTTCAATGAAATGTCCTTTTCTTGTTCAGAAATTGTGCTTCCGTAATTATTTCAAGTGAAATATCAGTAATGCGAAAATTCCCATTTCACGATTGAAAAGTCAATTGGCTAACATATGTTTTCGGTAAATTCTCATCAGGCCTGCACATTTACAAGGGAAGTGATCAGTCTAATTGTTGACAGGGTATAAATGTGTCTCAGGGAAGAGTTAATCGGACTCCATGTTCTCACGCCGCCCGCATGACGGAGTCAGCGTGTTGAGGACGATGGAGTTGGGGTGGGAGGGGGGGGGAAGGAGTTGGAGTGGGAGGGGGGGAAGTAGAGGGGTTCCGGTTGGATTGTAGGCGCTGTGAGTGCATGTAACTGGTCTCAGTGCGTCAGTATGGCTAGGTAGAGGTGAACATCGATCGATTTCGAGTTCAATTCTCGCACATCTAATCGATACGAACCATCAAACCGAGGCAAAAGAAGCTTTTAACGTTATCTACCGGGCACCGGCACACTACTCTATAGGCCTGCGCAAACGGATGCTAGCCACAGCCGAAGCAGTGGCCATTCGACTGACGAACCCAGCACTCTGTTGTCAGAAGACGCTGACACAAGCAGTCTATCTGCCCTGGCCGACTCCAGAAGGTGATCGCACACCATACCGACGCACTGAGACCAGTCACATGCACTCACAGCGTCTACAATCCAACCGGAACCCTTCTACTTCCCCCCCCCCTCCCACTCCAACTCCTTCCTCCCCCTCCCACCCCAACTCCATCGTCCTCAACACGCTGACTCCGTCATGCGGGCGGCGTGAGAACATGGAGTCCGATTAACTCTGCCCCCGAGACACATTTATACCCTGTCGACAATTAGACTGATCACTTCCCTTGTAAATGTACAGGCCTGACGAGAATTTACCGAAAACATATGTTAGCCAATTGACTTTTAAATATCAGTAAGTTTTACCGAAAATAGACGTTGGAATATATTCGTGCAATTTCCTATGCTAATACATGTCCTAGACTCCAGTTACGCATCTGAGCGACTTTTTCATTGAAAGGATAGTAATTTACTCGCGAGAGTTTTAATAAACAGGTTTAGCCGGACTAGAGATTTTATTTCATGTCCGATGTTGACCATGGTTATCAATCTCCTAAAAAAGGTATTTTTAAAAAAAACAGGGGTTTTATCAATTCCTTTATGTCAAACTAGCAGATCTGTGCGAATTGGTGCCGTAAAGTGCAATAATAACGCTGATAGAGATTCCTCCGTTTAAAAGGGTTGAAATTTTTTGTCGTTTGGAAAATCATGCCTGATGTCACATAGATAACCACCACGGAATGGTCATTTCCAGCTCTAAGCATACTACACACTACTTTTCGTGTAGGTTAGCTTCTGTGCATACCTCATTCAGAAATAGAACGAGCAAAACACTAATAGTTTCAGCAAAATATCAGTATTTATATGGACGCTCTGTCGTGCATTCATAATGGAAGAACGGAGTCCAAATGCGAGCAAAAACAGTGGAAATGGCCTCAATGTATAGAAAACGACGTGTTCTTCGTTCACGGTAGAAAAATATTAGTAATTCTCAGGAACGCGAAAGAAACGACCAAAAGTGTCAAATTTTTACTTGCCCTCGCTGTGCAAAAATGCAAAGTACACAGAGATCCGTCGACGGAGTGCAGTAATAAAGCACTTCCTAAAGAGGTAACTTATTAAGGAAAGTTTTCTTATTGATCCAAGGCATATTCGTTGGTGCCTTTCGTTGTGGACAGTCATTTTTCTCGGAAATGAAGTTTGATGTTTGAATAAGTCTTCAAATTTGAGTCAAACGACCAGCTTCGTGAAAAGGAGCGCCTGAACACTCAGTAATTTGGTAAATGCCTTCAAGAACAATCTTATTTTAAAGTTCTCAACAGACAGCTAATTCAGAATCTGTCGTTATGGGCGATCGGGTGAAAACACCGAAAATTATGAAGTAATCAGCAATATTTCGAGGCCGTTCTGAAACCCAACGTAATCCAAAACAAAGGAAAAGTAAAAATTAATCTAACGGAAGAAACGTTCACTCTATACACACAAAATGGTATGTTTACGATCACGCCTGTCAGTTCTATTTAAATTTATTAGGCACCGACCGGCCTCATGGCATGTCACCTTATGAGGACTTTTGATTCTACGACGTCCCCATCGGCGAAATCAAGCAAAATCCAGCTTCTCTTACTGAACCCCATCTCATTTAACTCCAAATCGTTAACGAAATTATGAAACAATGGAAAACTGTTTTGGAATCTACACCCCGAATGCAGGCAGTTGACAAACTGTCATATATTATGTCGCACTACTTAGTTAACGATATTTAGATGTAAACTTCAC